TACCCAACACCCCCTGCCCCACCCCGCCCTAACACCCCCTGCCCCGCCCCGCCCCGCCCCGCCCCGCGCGCCGCCGCAGCGGCTGGACGAGGCGATTGAGTCTGTGGGCAGCTCCGACGTGCACCTGCAGCAGCAGTTCCAGCCGGGGGAGGTGCGCCAGCTGCTGGCCGCCACCACCGCGGGGCTGGACAAGAAGCTGGTGCAGGTGGGCTGGTGGGGAGGGGGGGTTGGGGGGCCAGGTCGGCAGCGTGGGGGCCCAGGGGAGGGGCGTGGAAGATACCAGGGAAGGGGAGCAGGCACCTGGCGGGCCTGTATCGCCGGGATGCCATCTGCAGCCCCGCCTGCTCTACAGCTGACCCCCCACACACACACAAGCACTACCTGCCTCTCCTGCTGGCACCCTGACCGATCCCTGCCTCGTGTGGGTGCGCAGGTGCACCAGCGCATCCTGAAGCACCTGGGCGCCACCAGCCCGCACCTCGTGGACCCGGTCTGGGACAAGTGAGCTGGGCGCTGCTGCTGGGCCTCGGCCGCCTCTGCTGGGCGCTGCACACGCGCCACACGTCGCCTGCGTGCATCTTGGCCTCGCCGCAAGCCCCTCACCTACCATCTCCTGTGCTTCGTGCGCGCCTCACGCCCTGCAGGCTGGAGCGCATCTGCCTGGAGCGGTGGGGGCGCATGGAGGAGCAGATGCGCCTCTGCTACAGCGGCATCGAGCTGCGGCCGCCGCTCAGCGAGCTGCGCCGCATGTTCCGGGCGGCCAAGGGTGCGGGGGGGCAGTAGGGGGGCAGCCCCACTTGTTTCACCTTGTTTCTCACGTCCAGGGTTGAAACAGTCTGCGGTCAAACAGAACCTTGTAAGCGGCGCCGCGATGACGCTGGTATGGCCAGAAGGGAAGCAAGAAGGAAAGACAACACGGCGTTTGAGCTTTGAGCTTGACCTCAACGTGTCTGCCTCACTTCCTGTGTTTGTGCCAGCAGCAGGAGAGCACGATGACGAGCCTCGTGAGCGCTGCCCTCCCACGCCACACAGGTACTCAGCGAGGATCCCCACCGACAGCCTTGGATGGCCAGATTATGCCCTCTGCTGCTCCAATGCTGCCCCAGGGCCAGCCGAGCGGCAGCCCTGCCCTGCCTTTGTTGCCCGCTAGCCACAGCTCCACCCGCTGCCGATGCCTCCGATGCCGCGCTCGCCTCCGGATCGGCTTTCTCTTTGCTGCGCTGCAGAGGCGCCCGCCGTCACCATCCGCAGCAAGAAGGATGAAAGCAGGAAGATGCTGACCGTGCAGTGGCACGGCACGAAGGTGTGTGTGTGTGTGCGTGTGGTGGTTTGTGGTCAATACAAAGGATGTGGGGTTGGCGCACGATTTCGTTGCGTGTGCACGTGCAGCGAGACAGCGCTCCCCATGCCTGCGCTCACCGACACCCCGCCGCCTGCCTGCAGGACGTGCGCGTGGTGGAGGCGGCCGTGCCTGTGGCGACCGACCCTCAGGACGTCATCCTGCGCGTCACCTCCACCGCCATCTGCGGCTCAGACCTGCACCTGTACACAGGCGAGTTGCGTGTCCCGCCCTGGGGAGGCTGCTGTCCCGCTGCAGAGGCCCCATACCCGCCACGCCACGCCACGCCTCGCCCCTGCCCCGCGCAGGGTCGATGCCGGGCATGAAGAAGCATGACATCTTAGGTCACGAGTTCATGGGAATGGGTGAGCCCTGGGGCTGCGCGCAGCCCGCCAGAGCCTGGCCTGGCGGCGCGACCGCAGCTGTCGGCCAGCCGCGGTCTGGATCCCGCCTCTGTTGCCATGCCGCTGGCCGGATCGCCTGCGCCCGCTGCCCTGCCCAGCCCTGCTCAGCCCCTACTGCCCTGCCCTGCCCTGCGCTGCCTGCAGTGGAGGAGGTGGGGCCCGAGGTGAAGGAGGTGCGCAAGGGCGACCGCGTGGTGGTGGCCTTTGACATCGCCTGCGGCACCTGCTTCTACTGCCGCAACAGCTACTACACCAGCTGCGTGAGTGCTGGCCTGGCCCCCGCTGCCCCTGACCCTGGATGTGCCCCTGCCTGGCCTGCACCACGAGGGGAGGGGCACATGCACGGCGTGTGACTGCCAGGTGGCTGCCGCCGGGGACGTCGGCCACGAGAGGCGCCGACTCCCCCCCACAGGATGTTGCGTCTTGCACCCGCCGCCTGCTCCCCGCAGGACAATACCAACCCCAGCAAGGAGCAGGAGATGATGTATGGCCACCGCTCCGGAGGGTTCTTTGGGTACAGCCACCTGACGGGCGGCTGGGACGGCGGGCAGGCCGAGTACGTGCGCGTCCCTTTTGGTGCGCCTGCCGCTGCCCGCCACGTGTGCTGCCAGCAAGATCGATCCTGATGTCTGGAGCCGTCGGCGATGGCTGCATGTGCGGCATCAACCAGCCGCTAGTTGGGCCTGCCTGCCTTGCCAGCTGCCTGCTGAGCTGCCTGCTCAGCCCCGGCCCACCCTGTCCCCGCCCGCAGCCAACCTGAACTGCCTCAAGGTGCCTGCCAGCCTGTCGGATAACCAGGTGGTGCTTCTGTCAGACATCCTGCCCACCGCGTGGCACAGCTGCGAGCTGGGGGAGGTGGCGGAGGGGGACCGCGTCGCCATCTGGGGCGCCGGGCCGGGTGAGCCGGCTGGGGGCTGGGAATTCCACTGGCGGCTCGCACCACCTGGCACTCTTGCCGCGACCCATCAGATCTGCTTCACAGCCGCCGGAGCATGCGCGTGGTCGCACACTCGCTGCCTGCTGCCACCCCGCGTGCCTGCCTGCAGTGGGGCTGCTGGCGGCCCACTGCGCCTTTGCGCGCGGCGCTCAGCGCGTCATCCTCATCGACCGAGAGGAGGAGCGCCTGGCCTTTGCCCGCGAGCGCATCCGCAACGGCACCGTGGAGACCATCAACTTCACAAGTGGGGGGGCAAGCAGCGTGGGCACAGGCTGGTTGAGGCGGGGAGCCGAGCAGTTCCTGCCTCCACCCTGCCGCTGGCCACCCTTCCACCTGCCCGCCGCCGTGCTGCAGAGAAGAAGCCGATGGCGGCGCTGCGCGAGATGTTCCCAGACGGCACCGCGCCCGACGTGTGCATCGAAGCAGGCATGCTACCGCCTGCTCATGCTGACGTGGCATCCCGCCGCTGCCGGCGCTGCTGCCTGGTCCTCGCAGCCCCTTCTGGCACCCCTTCCTCCCCCTTGCCTTAATCCTCGCCTCCTCCTGCAACCCCGCAGTCGGCTTGCACTACACCTCCTCCTGGCTGCACTACTTTGAGACGGCGCTGAAGCTGGAGACCGATCCGTCTGAAATTGTGAACGAGCTGATCGAGTGCTGCCGCAAGGGCGGCCGCGTGGCCATCGCCGGCGCCTATGCGGGTAGGCGGTGTGGTGGTGCGCTGCCTGCAAGAGGAGGCGCTGTCACGGAGGCAGCGGCGCCGGGGGTGCGTGGCATGTGTCCAAGAAGCAGGCGCGGTGTTGATCGACACGATGCCCTGCTGCCTGCTTTGTGCAGGCTACTGCAATCACTTCAACATCGGTAAGTGCCTGCGAGCGATCCCCCACAGCAGCAAGGGTCTGGCGTCCTCCCAGCCCCGTCCTGCTCCCTGTGCAGGCGCTTTCATGGAGAAGTGCCTGACCATGAGGGCCGGACAGACCCCGGTGCAGAAGTGTGAGTGCGAGGCGTGGATGTGCTCCGCCGTGCATGTCTATCTTAGCAGGCACTAACCAGCACCCAAGCAAGCTGTCTGCAGACTGGCACAAGCTGCTGGGCATGGTGCAGGTGCGGCCGGCGTGCTGCCTGAGCAGCCCTCCCTTGCAACCTGGAACCTTGTAGTTTCGTCAATCATCACAAACTGCATGTGACAATGCAGGATGGAACGCTGGATCCCCAGTTTGTGATCACCCACACCCCGCCTCTGAAAGAGGCGGCCGAGGCGTATCGCATGTTCAACGACAAGCAAACCATCAAGGTGTGCACCCTGACTTTACACATAGATAGGAACGGGCCGCCGTATGATTCAACCAGGTCCCTGGCCTCCTTTGCAGGTGGTGATGAAGCCGGGGCGCTCCGAGGAAGGCGCCGGTGCCACGGTGGCAAAGGAGGAGTGAGCGGGCTGGCGGCTGTTCCATGACGGGGCAGGAGGCAGGAGGCGTGGCTGGCTGGCAGCAGGGTTGAAGTCGACGGTGTTAGCTTGTGCAGGATATTGATAGACCACTGTCGAGGGTCCGCATGTGCCTCTGCAATGTAAATAATTCAGTAAGGCAGGGTGCTCCGTGTGTAATTGTGGATGGGCTGCTGGATCCAACAGGGAAACGCCGCCACGTCCCGCCCCAGCGTGCGCAGCAGCGGCGGCAATGCCAAGTTAACGCCCGCCGTTCTCGCATCGCCTTCCTCCTAGATGTTGGGCAGGAGTGTCCCCCATCTGACTGCGCGCTGCGTGCCGGGCAGCGCAAGGCGGGGCCGGGTCCTCACCATGGCGTCCCTGATACACACCGATACCTTCTTCCTTGACACATTTGCGCTGCGGCAATGGGACGACCCGGTGCGCTGAACGCCGCTGCCGCCCCAACGGCGCCCTTCGCCGCCACCGCCTGGCCACCGTGCCCACTTGCCGCCGCTGCTTGTTCCTGCAGGAGTTTGCGGGCGCGCGGCTGTCGTGCGACAAGCAGCAGTTTGTGCAAAAGGTGCAGGCGGCGTATGCAGGCGGGCAGCCGCTGGTCGCGGGCTATGCGCCCTTTTGCAAGCACATCTTCATTAGGAATTACACAGGCGCCACCGTGGGCGCCTTGCCCATCACGGATGACAACCGCCACCTGCTGCAGTCAGGTAACAACCTGTTTGGCGAGAAGCTGCCACACGCTAGTGGCCAAGTGGCACGGCGATGTGACGTGTCCTTGCCTGCGCCGCCTGTTCCCCGCCTGCAGCCTACACGCGGCGGCGGCCCGACGAGCTGGCCGTGCTGGTGCGCTGGCTGCCGGCAGCGGCGGTCCGGGCCACCGAGGCTGCCTGGCTGGACGTCATCCTGTACAGCCGGGAGCAGCTGGCAAAGGAGTACGAGGCCATGCCCACCAAGCAGGGCGCGGGCCAGGAGGTGGGATGGATGGATGGATGGGTTGGTGAATCCAGGGATGCATCAAGGGATGCCAGGGCAGCGGTTGGTCAGCTTGGCTGCCGGGCCTGCTACCTGCGAGTCGGGCCGGGGCCAGGCACACATTGCATCGACTGTTGGCCTGTTTGTGCTGCCTCGCAGCTGCCGGATGCTCCCTGGGGGATCATCAGCATCAAGGCTCAGGATGAGGATTATGAGACACCCATGCAGGTGGGGCCGGCGGGGGTGACCTGTACCAGCCGGCGCCTGGCATTGGCGCCGCCACCTGACAGCACTGCTCCAAGTGCAGCCCTCCCGGCCTCCACCCAGCCAGCACGCCCCCTTGCCTGCTGCAGCCCATCACGATGATGAGGAACGCGCTAGGCAAGGAGGAGGGGGGCAGCGGGGTGCCGCTGGACCGCGAGAAGTATGAGCAGGCCACCGCCTACTGGCAGGCCCACGCCCAGATCCAGTGACGCATGTGCCTCCCCCTCCACCACGCCTCCGCCTCTCCCCCATCCCTCTCTGTCTCTCTTTCTTACTCTACAATACACCAGTCAGGCATGATGCCAGCCATGAAACATAACAACATCACCAGACAAGGGTCAAGGACGCAGGGTCGGGCACAACAGTCAAACGGCAAAGGTTAAGTAGAGGAGGGCGGGTGTACTAGGTGAGCTGTGCAGCGGGGGTGAAGGGTGTCGGTACCAACAGGCCACCACTGGCACCTGATACGATCCACCGGTCACAGGGGTCGAGCGGCACGGCGGTGGTGAAAAACGGGTAGGGTGGAGCCAGGCCGCATGTGGCGTCAATCTCAATGCAAATGCAGGCAAGGGCAGGCAAGGGCAGGCAGGTCCAACAAGAGAAAAAGCCGGGGTTTGCAGCAGGACCGCTGTTGTTTGTGTGTGGGTACGTAGGCAGATAGTAAGTACAAGGCATCACCGAGGGGAAAATGAGGCAGCGGAATCGTAGCTATGGAGGCAGCACCCAGCCGTGGCAGGGGCTTTCAGCAACAGGGAATGTTTCTCTCTGGCACGCTGCGCTCCGCTGTCGCCGAGGCTGATTCCGGCGAATCAAATCATAAAGGAGGCACAAAAAGGTGCTCGAAAAACGCCATCCGTCCAGCCCGGCAGCCGGCAGCGGCACTGGGCCAAACAGCCAGCAGAATAGCATTGTTGGGACTGACATCTCAGCATCCAATCGGCACAGCGGGGGAGGAAGAGGGGCAAAGGGGCACGGGGGAGCGCTGCGACAGGCAGGCATCGGGCGGCGGCCTGGCAGCGCACCGTGGGCATGCCATGCGCCGGCCCACCGGCTCGCCGCTGCCTCACTTCTTGGCCAGGTTGCTGCCGTTGACGGCCACCGACTTCTGCAGCTCTGCCGCGGAGGGCAGGCTGTCTCCAAAGTGGAAGTTCACGGTACCGTCCGGGTCCTGCTCCGCGTGCTGCAGCTCCGCCACCGCGCTGGCGCCCAGCTGCAGCCGGGACTCCATGCTGCGCAGCTTGGCCTCCATCCTGCGGCAAGGCGGGGCACGGCGGGAGGGCGGGCGGGCAGGCAGCGCAAGCAGGGCGTCAGCGGGGCCTGGGGAGGCAGGCGCAGCGCGCTGGGGCATCAGCGAGCCGCAGCAAGTGAAGGCGCGGGGCGTGATGATGCGGCGCCGCCTGCTGCGCCTGCCACCCCCGCCTCCTGGCCTGCTCATCCCCGCGCCGCCCGCCGCACCCACCTGGCATACTCCTCCTTGAGCCGCGCCTGCTCCCGCCGCAGGAACTCCACCTGCTCCTGGCTGGCCCCCTCCTCCGCCTCCACCAGCTGCTGCAGGCCCGCCACCGTGGCCGCCACGTCGCCCTCGTCCACCGCCAGCGTCAGCAGCCCCGCCTCCTCCAGGATGGCCACATACTCGCCAAACAGAGCCTTGCGGCGCAGCTCGGGCACAGCCTCAAACCTGCGGGAGGAGGGAGAAGAGGGTTGAGGCGGCGGGCGACGGGGAAGGGTCGCAGGGGGCAAAGTGGGCAGGTGGGGCAGACACGTAGAGCTGGCCAGCAAGGCCAGCAGCTGGTGCGGGGCATGCAGCCCGGGCTGCCTGCCCCCTGGGCTCCCTCTCTCCCCAAAAGGCCACCCACCGCGGGTCTGTCCACAGCATGGCCTTCAGCTGGGCGTAGGTGACGCCGCCGGCAATGGCGCCCTCCTGCTCCTGCAGCAGCTCCCGGTACGCCGCCTCCGCCGCCTCCGCCTGCGCCAGCTTGGCCGCCGCCCGCGCGGCCGCCCGCTCCTTGGCGGCCTGGGCCTCTGCCAGGCGCTGCGCGGCGCGCGCCGCGGCCCGCGCCGCCGCCTCCGCCGCCTCCTGCTCCTTGCGCTGCGCCGCCTCCCGCGCCGCGCGCAGCTGGCCTGTGAACCCCTCAAACGCCGCCTGCCGTTCCGCCTCGGATGCCAGGGCGGAGTAGCGCGGGTCGGCGCTGTGCGCTGCCTGGAAGTCGGCGTAGCGGCTGTCCGCCGCCACCTGCGCCGCCACCAGCAGCTCCTGCACAGCGGATTGAGAAGGGCAGGCAGGCGGGAGGCGTCAGCGGCGGGGTGGCGCCCACGCAGCGTCGGCTCGCCGCCGCGTCCATCGCCGCCACGGCCCAGCAGCCGGAGGCATGGCTGCACCGCAAGGCGCTGCGTCCCCAGCCGCCTGCTGCTCCTGCAGGCGGCAGCCGTGCCTGGAACGCCGCCAGCGCCTTGGTGCGTGCCGCGTTCTCCGCCTTGGCCAGAACCTCCACATACGCGCGGAACACCTGCTCCCGCCGCCGCTCGCTGAGCGGGGCGTGGTCCGGGGAGGGCGGCAGGCGCGCCGCCGCCTCTTCCCACGCCGACGACCCGTCCAGCGGCGGCTGCAGGGACTGCAGGGCCGCCAGGTATGCTGCCGCGGCCTGCACTCCCGGGCAGGCGGGAGAAGGGAGGAAGGAGCAGGGGAGGTGGAGGGAGAGGGTCAGACGGAAGGCAGGACAGCAAGGGTCAGGCGGAAGGCAGGAGGGCGAGGGGTCAGGTGGAAGGGCGGTCCCAGCGTGTGCTGGGCTTGCGGGCGGGCACTGCGCCAGCGCTTGCGGCAGCCTGCCAGCCCTGCCCGCGCGGCGCACCTTCTTCTGCGCCGCCGCCTCTGCCGCCGCCTGCGCCGCGTTGCGCTCCATCTGCTCGCTCACGCTGGCCGCAAAGCTGGCCAGCCCCGTGATGGCGCTGCCGGTGAAGCGCTGCATCAGGCGGCGGGAGGGCGGCGCAAGGGGGAAGGGGCATGGTGAGAGGGCGGCACAACAGCGAGCGGGGCTGCAGCGATGAGGGGATACAGATGCCGGTCGGGCTGGACAGGTTGCAGGCAGCAGCAAGGAGGGCCGCCGCAACGCACCAGGAGGCTGGACGCGGCGCTGCTGACCACCGCGCCGGCGGCCGCGCCCGCCGCCTCTGCTGCCGCCGAGGCCGCCGCCGCTGCCTCCTCCTCCTCCGACTGCTCGCCCTGCTGCCGCCGCGGGGAGGACGCGGCGGCGGCCTGCCTGGCCGCCGCAGGGTCCACCTTCTCCAGAGGCACCTCCTTGGCCGCCCACTTGGGCATGCGGCGCTCGGGCGCCGCGTCCGCCGCGTCGGCGGCGGCCGCCTTGCCGCCGCTGCCGCGCGAGACCTTGCCGCCCTTGCCGCTGCCGCCGCTGCCCAGGATGCCTGAGAGGAAGCCGCGGGCCGCGCCGTACACAGAGTTCATCTCCTTGACCGAGGAGGCCAGGCTGCGCTGCATGCCCTCCAGCGCCGTCTCCTCGCGCAGCAGGTCGGCCGCCGAGGCGCGCCCCGCCGCCACGTCGCCCCGCAGCTGCTGCACGCGCGTCGTCTGCACCTCGGTGGCCGTCGCCTCCTGCATCACCCGAGCCTCCAGGTCGAAGAAGCGGCTCTTGAGGGAGCCCCACATGCCCAGCAGGCCGCCGCCGCCGCCGCCGCCCCTGGCGCCCTTGGCGGCCGCGGGCGCCGCCACCGAGCGCTGCCCGCGGCTGCCGCGCGTGCCGCTGCGGTCGGCGGAGCTGCTGCCGGCGCCGCCGCGGCCGCGGCCGCGCCCGCCGGAGCCGCTGGCAGGCGGCTCGGCGGCGGGCGCCGCCGGCACGCCGGCCCTGCGGATGAACGGGTGCTTGAGGGCGGCAGAGGCGCCCAGGCGGGGCGCGCGGCCGGTGTTGACAAACTTGACGCCGCCGTCGTCGTCGTTCACAACGGTGCGAGGCCGCAGCAGGCTGGCCGCCAGGTCCCAGCCGGCGCCGTCGTTGGCATCCAGGATCGCCGTCTGCCGCGCCGGCAGGCCAGACCTGCAGGCGGAGGCGGGGCACGGGGTGTGAGGAGCGGTGGCGGTGGTGGTGTGCGTGTGGGGGCGGGGCAAGCGGCTGCCGGGCCGCGCGCCATGGCAGCGACGGCAGGTGCGGCGCAAGGCCGAGGAAGGGAGCGCGGGAGCGCGGGGCGGCGGGGTGCGGGCCTCACCGCACGCGCCACTCCTCCAGGTCGTGGTTGCAGCGGGCCAGAGCGCCGTTGAAGGTGCGCAGGGAGGAAGTGGTGCGCAGGAAGGGCAGGCTGCGGGGGCGGGGCACAAGCAGGGGGGGCGGGGCAGGCAGGCAGGGCGTGGTGCATCGCTCGCTCACAGAAGAACAAGCAAGGATGGATCCGAGACAAGCTCCATCTTGCGCCCCACACGCCCCGCGCAAGGGTTCCCCACACACACCACCAGCCGCACCGCACCCCCACCTCAGCTGCATCAGCACAATGCCCGCCGAGTATGTGTCGAAGCAGTCGGGGCGGTGCTGCGTCCACAGCACAGGCGTCATGACGGTGCGCAGGCGCGTGCCCGTGGCGGCCAGGTGCGGCGCGTCGGTGGGCAGCACGTACTGCGGGCAGCGGGGGTGCGGCGGCGGCGGGTTGGCGAGGGCACGCAGAGGAGGCGCAGGGCTGTGCATGCCTCTTCCAACCAGCAGCGACAGCAGGCCGGGCAGGCGTGGGGTGGCACCGCGCCGGCGCCAGCACAACCTCTTCCACCCCTGCCGACCAGGCGCCCACGGCGCACCTCCTCTGGCGGGCAGTAGCAGGGGTCCAGGATCGTCTCCGAGGGCTTGTAGTTGGTGCCGGTGCGCAGGCAGGCGGCGGCGCCCAGGTCGATGAGGCGGAAGCGCCGCTCACTCTCGTCAAACACGATGTTGGCGGGCTTGATGTCGCGGTGCACGATGCCCACATTGTGCAGCGCCTGCGCCCAAACACACGCGCGCCGGCACGGAAGCCTCCGGTGTCAGCCAGGCGGCGGCGGCGGCGGCGCCAGCACAGCGCAGGCGCGCGCCGGTTGACAGCTGCAGCCCGACAGCCCAGCCCTGCCTGCTCCTTTCCCAACAGCCACCCGCCCGCCCCCCCGCACACCACCGCCATGGCCCACGCACCAGCAGGCAGTCGAAGATCTGCTTCATGGCTGTGGGCACGGCCTGGCTCTCCTCCACCCCCAGGTCGGCCGCCAGGCAGCGCTCCAGGTCGCGGCGCTTGAGGTAGTAGGCCAGAGTCTTGTCGCCCTCGTAGGCCCACACCAGCCACAGACCCTTGCTCAGCCGCCCAGACTGTGGCGCGGCGGCGCAGGGCGGAGGCAGGGGCAGGCGGGCGGCGTATGAGCGGGGGAGCAACCATGGAGTCAAGGAGGCCGCCAGCCAACTCGCCGCCATCTTGTCTGCCGCTCTGCCAAGCCCGGCGCACGCCGGTACCTCCCGCAAAAGCTGAGCCAGCCAGGCCGTGCTTCCGTGCTGCCTTCCCGCCCTCCCAACTGTCTCCCACTGCGCCCAGGCCTGCTGGCAGCCACCCACCGCCTGCTCCACGACGGTGTACCCCAGGAAGGGCGCCACCGCCTCGCCGGCCGCCCTGCTGGCCAGCACGTTGATCAGGTGCTCGGCCTCGTGCATCTCGTCTGCGCCCTGCACCCGCGCCCTCACCCGCTTCAGCACCACCTCCTCCATCTCGCCGTCGTCGTTCACAAACGTGCCCTGCAGCGGGAGGTAGCGGCGCACCAGGTCAGGCAGAGCGCGGCAAGAGGGCAGGGAGGACAGGGGCAGCAAACAGGGGCCGCATGTGACGTGCGGGCGGGGTGGGGCAAGCAGGCGGGGGCAGGAGGCTTGCGTGCAGTTGTGGAGCGTACAGGGCTGGAGCAGCGGGGGCGGGTTCTGTGCACGGAAGTCCACGGCAGCAGTGGCCAGCAATATGCTGACGTTTGCAGCAGGCACGCAGCGGGGGCAGGTCATACAACAAGCGGCGGCAGAGCGCACCCGATAGCACTCGCCAAAGCTGCCGGACCCCAGCTGCCGCCCCGCATTCAGGCGTTCGGGCTCCAGCCGCTGCACACAAGCAATAGAGGCGGCGTGAGCGGCCCGGGGGCGCAGTCCTTGAGCAGTATCAAACGTGGCGCCGCCGCCGCCACCGCTAGCCGTTGACCCGTGGCCAAAGGCGGCCCACCAGGCTGCGCAGGGCGCTGGCACTGCTGCACATTGAACCTGATGTGGCCCCGCTGGCAATTTGTGCGCCCAGGGGAAGGAGCCGTTGTTGTAGGGCTACCCTGCGCACCTGTCCCTTGCCAAACTTGCGGCTTGCGTCTGCCCTGACTTGTAGGGCCCTCCTTGACCTGGCATTGGCGTGAGCAGCCCTACAAGTCCGCTTGAGCGCCGCAGGCGGGGCCCTTGCCCTTCCCAGTGCCGCCTTCATGGGTGTCGAGCTTTGCTGTCGGCGCCAGGCCTTCCGCGCCGGGAAAAATGAGGCCCGCGGTTTCCTGAGCGCGCCTGCGCTGCAAATGCCAGCTCCAGTGCACCAGATTGGCCGCCAGGGGGGTATTTGAGTGGTTTGGCCATTTGGAAAGAACACACTTCAATTCAGCTTGAACTGGGGATACCGAGGCCCGCGACCGCTCGCACTCGTGCTCAGACCACAGCTACGGCCCCCCGGCAAAGCCAGCCGGCCAGCGGCCTCGGTCTCCGCAATCCCTCCCTTACACGTGCCCCACAGCCCCGGACTGACGCCAACATCAGCAGACCAGTCACCGTGGGTCTATCCCTCGTGCGAGGTGGGCCCTGCGGCCGCCAGGCGGCCCAGCCAGCGCCGAGTTTAACAAACGCGGCTGGCCCCAGCCTGTCCCCTCCTCTCCAGGCGACCTGCTGTGGCGCCTGAACCTTGATCATTCGCGGGCGGCGGTCGCCCGCCGCTCTGTGGGTGGACCCGCCCGCCGCGCAAGCCTGCGACAGCTTCCGACACACTGCCGCGCCCTGCCTGGCGACCCCCACCCCCGCCTGCAGCCCAGCAACCCCTAGCCGCGCCATGGCAGGCGGTCTGAGCGTCGAGGTGGACGAGGATGTGCAGATGGTGGAGAATGCAGCAGCACCCGCGCTGTTCTCGCCGGGCATGTGGGTGCAACGCCCGCAGCGCACGCCGGCAATGGCGCCCCGAGACGCAGAGCCGGCAGACCAACGCGGGTGAGCGCTGGCCTGCCCTGCTGCTGACACTTTGTGTTGGGTTGCTGCTGCTGTCGATGCGCTCGTTGAGCAGCAGGCGGCACGGCGGTGCACGGTTTCAGCCCGTCGTTGTCCGGCCAAGGCCACCCTTCCTTGTGCTTGCCGCTGGTGCCACCATTGCCACTGCTGGTGCCGCCCCTCACACCAGCACTCCCTTGCCTGCGCTCTGCAGGACGGCGGCGCCGCCTGCGCGCGGTCCCGACGGGCTGGGCTCCTCGCTGGCCGACCCGGACCTCGCCTACCTCAACATTGGCGATGAGCGGGACAGCGCGGAGAAGGAGTACATGAAGCAGGACAGCGAGCACATGGAGGCGCTGGAGCAGGCGTATGGGCGGCTGCGCGAGCAGAACCGCGCCATGGAGCAGCAGCTCAAGGTGGGGGCCTGGTGGAGTGTGTGAAGGGGCAGGAGGCCACAGCTGATGGGAGCGTCTGGCTGATTGGCCGGGGCGTGCTGAGCGAGCGATTGTTGGTTGAGCACGAGGCGCTGTTCTCACTCATGTGTTCTCTGACCCCACCTGCGCCCTTGCCTGCGTGCGACCGCGGTGCAGGGCGTGGTGGCTGCTGTGAACGAGGTGATGGACGAGAACCGCACCATCAAGGGCCTGCTGGCCATGCTGCAGGTGCAGCGCGACGACTTTGTGTTCAACCCGCAGCAGACCATTGCGGCGCAGCAGGAGGCCATCGGCCTGCGCCTGCTGCACAACCTGGAGGGCAGTCCGCCCGGGGCGCAGCCGCCGGCCCAGCAGCTGCAGCAGCAGGGTGGGGCAGCAGCGCCCCAGCAGCGGCACCAGCACCAGCAGGAGCAGCAGCAGGGGGGGCTGACCGGGTCGCAGCAGCAGCAGCAGCAGCAGCAACAGGAGGAGGCGCAGCATGTGGGGGGCGCTGTGCTGGCGGGTCCAGCCCTGCTGGAGATGTCGCCCGGCTGCATGCTGCCGCTCAGCACCCCGGGCAGCCTGCTGCGCACCGTGTCGCCCAAAATCGGCGCGCTTCGCTTCGATTCCCTGGCAACGGCGGGAGACCTGGGCACGGCTGGCCAGGCGCCCCCCACCGTGGTGCCGGCCTCGCCGTACGACTTCCCAGCTGAGTCGCAGATCGCGGCTGCGGCTCTGACTGCCAAGCAGGGCGACACCGCTGCTGCGCTGCTGACGCTGCTGGACAAGGCCATTGAGGCGCGCATGGAGCGGCAGCAGGCGGCGCAGCAGGCTGCGCAGCAGGCGCAGGCAGCGCAGAACCAGGGCAGCCAGCAGCAGCAGGAGCAGCGTGTGTACCGCATGTGACCACCCCGCCTGGCTCCTGACGCCTCACTGTGGGGCAGTTGAAACCGAACCCGCCCATCACGTGATTGCCTAATCCCCGGCCCCTGTTCCATCAGATTCCCATGCCTGTGTCATCAACAGCAGCCGCATGAGCCCATGCCTCTTGCCACCATCTGCCCGCCTGCGCCCAGTGCTCGCGCCGAAAGAAGTTGCCACCCGGATTGCCCCGCCACCAGCCAACCGCTCCTGGCACTTGTTTCTCGCTCGCTTACTACATGCTGCTGCCGCCCTCCCTTTGATCTCTTTGCGCTGTCACCCCAGAACTGCGGACCCGCCCTCTTGTGTCCAATTTTGAAGCCGTGCATTGAGCAAGCGTCCTGGCCTCCCGCCGCTCCCTCAACCTGCCCCGCTCTTTCGGCCGTCTTCTCCTTGTCCAATTGCTGTTTGCTTCCCTTCCGCTTGCTGTTCTCCCCACAAAAGCCACTCCTGCACGCCAACCCGGCCTCTCCAGGCTGCCCCGCCCCACCGGGCCCCAGTTGTGTAAGCACCTGAGAGAGTCCAGCAAAGCAACGGCAGCCGGAACCAGCGAGCAATTGCACATCCACAACCCTTCACCTCCGCCAGAGCAGTCTCTGTTACCGCGCCGTTGAGTCACAGGCCGTGCCAGGCACAATAGTGCAGTTCAAGCAACATGCGTCACCCCGCATGCGGCATGCCCGCCACCACCAGCTCGCTCGCATACCAGTCCTGCGCCTTCTCCCGCTCCATGAACTCCACATACGAGGCGTGCCTGGGCTCCCACTGCAGCTGCTGCCGCGTGGCCGTGTTGCTCATGCGCTTGCCCTTCACCGGCCCCTCCGCACCGGTGAACTTGACGCTGCCCTGGAAGGCGCCGCTGGCCAGCGTGGCGGCCATCATGTCCTGCTCGGAGGGGCAGGAGGGCAGCGGGAGGACAGCTGTCAACAAGGCAGCATGGCAGAGCCCAGACCCAAGGGGTGGCCTCCGCACAAGCCGAGCCAGCCAGCCAGCCGGCCAGCTGCCCAGCCGCAGGCGGCGCACGCCGGCCGCCAACAGCCCGCCCCGCTCCCCGCACGCAGCACGGCCCTCGCCTCAAACGTGACGGGCGCGCCGTCGCAGCCCAGGAAGGTGCGTGCGCGGTAGTAGGCGCCGCCCTCGCTGCCGCGGCCCTGAAGCGCCGCCAGACACAGCGAGGCGGCGTCCTCGTAGTGGATGAGGTTGACGGTGTAGCCGCCCCAGCGGGCCACCTCGCCCTGGCGCAGGAAGAAGGTGTGCGCACCCCTGCATGGCACGCCAGCGCGAAGAGCGGTGGAGGTAAAGGCAGGCGGGCCCAGCAGCCTGGGTTGCGGCGTGCTGGAGCGCGGTGCTGGCCATGTCGTCCACCCTCCTGCCCCACAAAACAGAGCTGCGGCTCACCTCTGGCCGTGGTACAGGCCCACCAGCCGCACCACGCAGCCGCCCGCCACCAGAACCGCCTGCTCCGCCGCCAGCAGCTTGTCGGTGCGCTCGTTGTCGCCCAGCTTGGCGGTCGGGGCCGTCTCGTCGCAAGCTGCAAGGCGCAGAGGCAGGGACCGCGCGCAGCAGCAGCAGCAAGCAGCTCGGGTGCTGCACAGCGTGGCCGCAGCAGGGCCTGCCCGCAGGTGCTGCAGGAGAGCCGAGGCGGGAGGCGGGGCAGAGCGGCAGCCCACAGGGACGACAGGTAGCCCCAAGTGGAATCCCGCGAAGGCAAGCCAGCAAGGCGGCGCTGCCAGCGGAGCAGGGTGCCAGCCAGCCACAGCCACCCACCCGACCCGTCCTCCACTGTATATAACCCTGCACTAGAGGTGAACACAAAGGTGCCTGTGCCGTCCCACAGCCCCAGTGCCGCCTCGATCTCCGCCAGGTAGTCGGCGCTGCCCGAGGGCGGCGCACTGAACACGACAAACGGGAAGGTGCCCGCCGCGGCGGCGGCGTCCTTGGTGCGCGGCGAGATGCCCAGCGCCTGCAGCCTGCAGAGGGTGGAGGGAGGCGGGCAGGCAGGCAGCCGGTAGATGGTGAATGGTGGGTCCTTATTGCTGTGCAGCGCCGCAGAACGTTTTGGCAACGCGCAACAGACAGCAGGCTGACAAAGGGTGGGAGGGGCGCGTGTCGAGCTGGCCACGCACTTTGCATGGTTGGTGGTGCTGTTGGTCTGCCCGACCACCGTGCCGGCGCCGTTCTCGTCCAGCCAAAGCTTGCCCAGGTAGCTGCCCAGCACTCCGGGGCCCACGATAAGCAGGCGGTTGCTGCTGGCGGTGCCGACGCTGCCGCCGTTGCCTGCGGCGGCCGCCATCACGTTCGCCACCGCCGCCACCACCAGGCGCTCCTGCCCGGTGGCCCGCGGCACGGGGGCGCTGCGGGCACTGCGAGGGCACCCGCGCGACTGCCTGAAAGGGGTGCGCGCAGCTGCCCAGGAGCCCCGCACTGCCCCAGACACTGCTTGGCCCGACTGAGCTGCTGTCTGCATACTCCTTCCTGCTCCTGTTATGCTGGCAGAACGCGATAGCGCAATGCTCCCTCCTCATCTGGATCATGCCTGCCAGCTGGCGCTGCCTCTGCCGCCATCGCATTGGCGGCAATGCAATGGGGTGCCCAAGGGGCAGGACAGCTCCCCCCATTTCAATTCAATTAAAAGTCACCCAGGAGTTCCAGTCAGGACTATTACCATCCACCAGCGAGCAACAGGATCTGTGTCTAACAAAAGGAGGAGGGTGTGGCGGCGGGTGCACACATTTCGGTGGCACATCGACATGAAAACGGAAGGCAAAAAGTGAGATGCAAGGGTTGAATTCTAGGGAATGAATGGCAGCAGATGACTCCGTGCGCTCTCTGATCTGAGTTGGCAGCAGCAATGCTGCGCCAAGTTCCTCGACTCGCGCCGCCGACGGCCTCAGTCCGCATCCTCGGTTGCCCTCTGCCGGTCTGTATGGATGGGGAGGGAAGAACGTGGTCGTGGTGCATTTGTTTTGGTGTTAGATGTAAGAAAAAGCAGACTGGCACAAGCGCCAAGCGTATGTGGTGGAGCTTGCTGGCAGCCTACACACCCAACGTCTCATGCGGAGTAATGTTGGGGTTGGCCAGCAAGTGCTCGCCATCACCCTTGCCGTGGTCCTCCCGTTCAACGCGCTCGTCGGCATAGGGCTGCAGGAGGGAGGGTATGGTGGCTATGAGTGATGGCATAGCTGGGCAGGAGAAAGCAGGCCAAGCAGGGCAGTGGCGGCCCACCATGCCCTCCGTTGCGGCTTGGGGCGGGAGGAGGATGTGGTCCTGGCTCGAGTTCACGTCGGCGGCGTCACGCCCCATCAGATCAGGGTCCATGGCGATCTGCAGTGCGAGTGAGGCGGTCGAGGACGGGTGGGTGTGAGTCTGGCACAGCGCCGCGAATGGCGGTGGCAGGCGGCAGCGGCGGCTCCAGTCTGTGTTGGGCAGGCTTGCGCAGCCATCATACGCTGGCCTCGGGGCCTTGAGAGGAGGCCGGTGCAGCAGGCCGGGGGGAAGAGGGTGCAGACCGTGCAGCGGTGGGTGCGAACTTCGGTTCGCACCCATCCCGCTCACACCCTAACCCTGAGTCGCTTGCAGGCGACCCATCGATACCAGGAACGCATCGGAGCTCGATCCGACACCGCAGGCTCACCGACAGAAGAACTTCAGTCTCGGTAGCAGATGAGGTGCTCCGATACTTTGGGGTGAGCGGTGCTAACCTTGATGAAGGGTGCCTGACGGAAGATTGAAACAAAAGCAGCAATTGCAGCTCAAACCCGGGTCCACTCATAATCTTTGTAAGCGGTTGGCCATACCGGCAGCGTGCACGCCGTGCGCAGGCGCCGCTGCCCATCTTCTGCCAGGCTCCAGCAGATGTTTTTTCACAGTGGCAAGCAGGAAAGACAAGCTAAGATGGGGCTCTGAAATGCATGCATTGGTGTTTGTGGGGCGCAAATGTGGATACCAGCTGGATGCGGTCACAGACGAGCTCCCTGCCGCTGGCTGGGCCAGCGTTGTGAACCCTCAATCCATGTCGCGCTCCGCATCGCTCTGCTTCTCTGCAGGTCATGAGGGCAAGAGGTCATTCAGGAAGGTTGCTGAGCACGGTACACAGCCCCAATAGCTGCCTGGCACTGCCGGCACGCTCACCCAGCATGCATGCATGCGCCAAGCTGGCCAGCACAGACGTGGCACACCAGGCATTCCCCTGCCAGCGGCACACCATGCCAGGCAAGGCGCTGCTCCAGACCCTGCTAGTTCATCGCCCGCCGGGCTTCCCTGCCCCTGCCGCCGCACCTTGCACCTCGTGGGGCACCAGCGGTGCGCCCGTCATGATGTGCTCGGTGCTGACGTGGCCCTGGTCCTCCACCTCCTCCCGCTCCTCCGCCAGAGGCTGCCAGTGGGTCGAGAAAGAGGGGGTGGCAGCAGAGCGCTGTCAATGCAGGCTGGCATCAACGGCTGCAGCAACAGCAGGGTGCCCGCAGTGAGACGTGCGGCCCATCACCCCCAGCTCACCATGCCCTCCACAGAGGCGTGCTGCGGGGCCAGCACGTGGTCCACCGTGCTGCCCACCTGCACCGGCATGGCGCGGACCGGCATGATCAAGCAGTAGAGCGTGCACAAGGCGCCACATGGGTATCAGGGACAGCGGTGCTGCACATGTCCCAAAACCGCCCCTTGAATGGCAGCAAAGCCCGGCAGGCGCCGGCCCACCTCGCCCGCATCCCTGCCCATCATGTCGGGGGTGGCATCCTCCTGGATGTCGCTCATCTTGGCGATACCCTGCAAGGGTCTGCTGGCACCAGCGCGGTTGAAGACACAGCAGCGGGGCAGGGTGCTGCAGCGCGAGCGGCACCACTGCAACGTGGCGGCAGCACGAGCGCTGGCAGCAGCATCGGTGGCAGCAGCATTGTCGGCAGGCACCGCCCTGGTTCGCGCATGAACCTTGGACGTGTGCTGGCGGCTGCCCGAGGCTGGGGTTTGCTGTTGAGGGCACCTGGCAATCTCCTGCTCTTGCCCACTCGTTGGCACACACTCAAGGCAGGACAGCCTGGCTGATGAGGCAGGGGCCTCCAAGGGAGCATGCGCGAACGCGACGCGCGAGCGGCAAGCCTCAGCCTACCTAGTATGCGCTTGAGTTGCTATGCTCACTTCACAGAAGTCAAAAGCAGGCCACAACAAAACAGTCCAATGATCCAATGAACCTTGCTGCCATGCCGCCACGACCGCGCCACGTCAGCCATGGCGCCTTCCCCGTGGCATGCGTTCCAGCTTGCTTTATTAATTCCTGACAATTGAACCTGTTCAAACTGCATGTTCTGCCGCGTGGCTGGCATGTGCATCAAAAGCTGCCTCCTGCAGTTACATCCTTTAACTGTGCTGCCCGCGGCGGAGCACCTGGAAGTGGTAGCGCCGCGTGCCGTCGGCGTCTGCCCACAGGGGCGCCCCGCCCATGCCCGACCCCAGGTGAATGTACAGCTCAGCCAGGGCCTCCAGGGTGCGGGCATGCCTCAGCGGGCCCACCCACTGGGGCAGGAAGCCCACGGCACGAATGAGCGCCGCCACGTCAGCCTGCCGCTCCTCCGCGCCGGCATACATCAGCGTCAGCTGCTGCCCCGTCACCAGCGAGCCGTCTGGGCGGGCCATGTGCTCCACGCCCACCGTGTTGAAGGCCTTGTACACGTGGCTGCCTGCAGCAGCAGGACAGAGAAATAGACATCCCATGCAACAGAAGGCCTCCTCACCCGCTGGAAAGGGGCCGAGCAGCAAAGCATGGCAGCTAGCAGCGCGTGCCTGGCAGCTCCTCCTGCAGCGCCTCTGCCCACGAGTGGCCGCGCTCCCACACCAGCCCATTGCCGTGCCCATCCAGCGGGTTGGTGGCGTCGATGACCACCTGCCCTTCGGCCTGAAGCCCCAGCGAGCGCGCAAAGCTGGCGCAGGCGTGCCGGGTGGCCAGCGCGCTGCCCGGCACGGCGAGCAGGATGGCGCCGCCACCATCGCTGCCGCTGGCCACCCAGGCCACCGCCTCGGACACGGTGCTGCCCGAGGCGGCAGGCTGCTCCTGCAGCACGGCCTTGAGCTTGCGGCTGTGGGCCGGGTCGCGGCTGCCGTAGCGCACCTCCCACCCCGCCGCCAGCAGGCGCCCCCCCAGCGTGGTGCCCACCCTCCCGGCGCCGATGATGGCGGCACGAGGCATTGCAGGAAGTGTCAGGGGGACGAGAACAGCCGGTGCTTCTCACTTCTGCCCTGCTTGCAGCAGTCTTGCAGAGGCGGCAGTGGGCGCGTGCCGCCAGTCGGAGGCGGGCCAGCCGCAGGAGCAGCAGCGACAGCCAACTACACAGCACTGCTGGGGCGAGTTTCGTGGCAAACAAGGCTGCTCACACCGCAGGAAATGCAGGATACCAAGCTGCAAGCTGGGCCGCTTGCCTTGGATCGCGGTCGAACTGCAGAGAGGATTGCCAATGATTCACATTGAGTTGAAAGGGAGCACAAGGCGTTCGGTTTGCAGCGAGTTGGTTTCTGCCAGCAGTCTGCCAGCTAGGAGCCAGGTCACCGGCAGAGGCTTGCAAAGGAGCCCAGGCGGATCCCAGATATCATTGGGAAGTTATATTGGCGATGCATGCAGCACAGGCTGAGCCCCTGGCCGCGGTGCGCCTGCTTGGGCCGGCTGTTGTCAGCCTGCCGCCGCATGCCGAGCTGCCGAGCAGCAGAAAGTGATCCCTGACTCGGGCCTGCCACCGCCGACTTGCTGCGCATCCTGCAGGTGGCCCCGCTGGTGCTGCCGCTGAATGCCGCCGGCACCGCCTTTGAAGGCTTCATCGCACCCAGCAGCGTGAGCGACTCGGCTGGCTGTACGACTTGGCTGGTTGGCTGACAGAAGAAGAACGGGGAGCACCACAGCCTTCTAGCCATCTGCACATGGAGCAGCTGGCCGACGCGTTGCCCCGCGCTCCCACCAACCTGCAGTGCCGCCACGCAACATTCCGCCCTTCCCCTGCAGGCCCTCGGGCCCCGGCCCGCCTCCCTCTGGCTGCGCATCAGCGACCTGCAGCCTGGCGCGCCGACGCTGCGAGGAGCGCGGCTGGAGGCGAATGGCGAGCTGGCGGCGCTGCTGGCGGGGCAGCAGGGCGTGCTGGCGCAGCGGCTGGCCGAAAGCCCCTCGCTGCCTGCTTTTTTTGTGGAGCTTCACAACATGGTGGACCAGCTGAGCCTGGAGCAGTGAGGCCGCGAGGCCCCGTCGCCCAAAAGCGCTGTCGCTCTGCCTCTCTGTCTCACTGCGGCCGCAGTCTGGGCTGCTCTGGTGTCGAGGCTCCACACCGTGCAAGCGCTGCATCAGTGCTTGCACCCTCAACGCGGCAACTGTAGCCCGGCATCCTGAGTGTTTGCCGCTTCTGGTGCTCTCACTTCCCTACATCGCCTGTCGAAACCCCCAAACCTCCCTGCAGGCCTGCGCCTCCCAGCTGCCGCCCAGCCGCCTTCTACAGCAGCCTCAAGGCGCAGCTGGAAGCGATAGGCTGGCGCCACGTCAGCAGCCTCTCGGATGACCTGTCGCAGCTGACGCTGGCAGCCAGCGACGCAGCTGGGCGCCGCCACGAGCTGCGCCTGACCCTGCCCCCCGCCTACCCAGCCGCTCCGCCCACGGCAGCCGCCGAGCTGCCCGCTGCCTTTGAGCTGCGGTGGGCGGCGGGCGCCAGCCTGGAGGATGTGCTGGCACAGTTTGAGGCGGCGCTGCAGCATTATCAGCAGCTGTGGGACGGCCTGGACGACCTGGATGCCCAGGCCTGGGTGATTGAGCCCACCGCCGCGCCACGCAGGTGCAACCACAGACATGCGGGCACCACGCATGGGCGCGCTCCTTTAGGGATGTGGCTGCTGCTGCTCGCTGCCAGCCTCCCCGCCACAGCTGCGCCTCCTGCGCTGCCCACCTTGATGCTTCCTGCCTGCATGATGGGCCCCCTCACCCCCTCCCCTGCAGTGTGGTGTACCGCCGAATAGCCCTGGGGCATCATGTGTCGCTGGCTCTCACCCTGGACCCTGCACAGCCCTGGGCGCTGCCGCTGGACTGCCGGTTCATGGGGTCGGATGCGGCGGTGGCACCGCTCAGGTGAGCAGCCTAGAGGGGGCTTGCCCGCACATGTTCTGCTTTCGCCATCCTCCTCCGGGAGCAGGCAGGCTGTCAGCCGGCATAGCACACACAGGGACTGGCAAGGCAGTGCACCTGAAGCAGGGCGTTGATGTTGCAGGCAGGCTGAGAGGGCTGGCCCTGCCTCTGCCGCCGATCCTCCTGCCCCTGCTGTGCAGGCAGCGGCTGCATGACAACCGCGGCTGCTGGCAGGCCGGGCGGCTGCTGCGGGAGAACCTGGAGGCGGTGCTGGGGGTGGCGCTGCCGCAGCGGCAGGGAGCGGATGCCGAGGACGCCAGTGCCGACTGTGCCATCTGCTATGCCTATCGGCTGCCGCCCGCCGAGGGGCAGCTGCCGGCGGGAGGAGAGGAGGGTGGGTGGCCCGCCAGGCTGCAGCCCGGCGCCTGGCCTGGCGTGGGTGCAGGCAGCATGCGGCGCGCCTGCTGCTGTCCTGCCCGCCAGCCATGCCGCATATCCGCGTCGTGCGGGCTGCTGCCGGGCCCAGCCTCGGCCGCTGCCTGTGACCGTGTTGTGCCACCCTTTGCCTGCTGCCGGCAGGCGAGTCCCCCGACATCAACTGCGACAACGCGGCCTGCGGCAAGCCGTTTCACAGGCGCTGCCTGGTGGAATGGCTCAATTCAGGTAGGTGGGGGCCGGGGACTGAGCGTGTGTGCATGCCGGCATGGTCGTTCTGCAGCTGGCAGCACCGTCAGGGTTTGCTGCTGTTCCCCAAGTGTGCATGCATGCCCTCTCGCTTTGCCCCACCCACTGCAAGCAGACACCAGCACGCGGCAGTCCTTCAACACGCTGTTTGGCGCCTGCCCCTACTGCTCCGCCCCCATCACCGTCAAGGCGGTACCAGCCTGAGCAGCAGCACACCGGGGGTTCACTGCAATGCACGCACAGCGTGATGAGGTGCTCCTAAGGCATGGCGTGGCGGGATTGGTGATTCTTTATTGGAAGGCAAGATGCAAGGGTTGCGAAAAGGTTGCGTGAGAGCTGGACAGCAGCCGAGGCGGAGCAGCGCCCGGCCTGTGGCCCCGCATTGTGAGACAGCCACGGGTGTGGAAGCGCTTGAGCAGGCATGTGTTGGCTCAAGCGCAAACGCCTGCATCGGTCGTCAGTCTTCACGAAGGCTGCTCCGCCAAGGCAGGCATGCCCCTCCCCCAGGCCATTGCAATTGCACCCCTTGGCGCCTGCGCCCTCTGCGGGCTAGGAAAGCACCAAGGCCGCGCATTGCCCCTGCTTTGTTGACGCTTGCAGTCCTGCCTTATCGCGTCAAATTGGCCGGAAACCGCCCATATGGCGCTTACATGTGCAGCGGTGCCACACTTTGGCCCCGACTCCAGATGGGCCCGCGTGCTAGGGCTGTGCCTCTGCCTGCTGAGCTTGGCACCGTCGTTGGCTGCGCAGGAGGGGCTGCAAGTCATCCTGGGCGCGCCACCGCTCCTGCCGGCACAACCAGGGGGCGGCGGCGGCTGGGGCAGCTTCCGCCCCCGAAGGCAGCTCGCCGCTGCTTTGCCCTTTGTCAAGATTTCGTCACGGGCGGCTAGCAGGGCTCTCTTTCGTGCCCAGTACAACGTCAGCGGACCTGCTCACCCCAGCTGGACTGGCAAAGTATCGCCATGCATCGCCGGGAACACCAGCGCCAACCACAAGGCGAGTGTGTGGCCGTCGCGCATGTGCACCGAGGGCCACAGCAAGCTACTGCAACGATGACACCCGCCCGCACACCCACCCTCCCACCCGCCGATACATGCAGGCTGCCACCCTTAGACGGATCAACTACTTTCGGGCAATGGCCGGCATTCCCAATGTGACGCTCAGTGCAAGTCTTTCGACAAAGGCGCAGGCAGCGGCCCTGATTATGGAGGCATCAAACAAACTGAGCCACACACCAAGCACAAGCTTCAAGTGCTATACAGCAGTAGGAGCGGAGGCAGCCGGCAGCTCTATCCTGGCCTCGGGCCCCGGCGCGTTTGGGCGCGGCGCCATGGACATGTGAGTGCAGGGTTGGGCAGCTGAGAGGCGCAGGGTGCGCAGTGCCAGCAGGCGGCCATGCGGCAGCAGCCAGCAGTTGCCTCTTACACCATTCTCGCTTCCCCACACCCCCGTTGCCGCCACAGGTACATGAATGACTTTGGCGTGCCATCTGTGGGCCACCGCTTCTGGCTGCTCTGCCCCTACACCAGGAAGATGGGCCTGGGGGACACAAGTTACCTCTTTGACCCCTGGCAGACTGACGGCTGCTGCAAGCAGCCAGCCAATGTGTGTACCTCCACCATCCCATGCTCCAAGGACAGTACCTGGTTTGGCGGCAACGCCCTGTGGGTGTTCCCCGCGCCCTCCGAGTACTTCACCCGCCCCGCCACCCGCGAGCCCTACGTCGCCTGGCCGCCGCCCGGGTACGTGCCCTGGCAGTTCATCTACAATCAGTGGACCATCACCTACCCATTCGCCGACTTTTCGACGGCGACAGTCAGCATGACGATGGGTGGCAAGGCGCTGGGAGTAGCCTCCAAGGCCGATGGCGGCTGGTACGGCGACAACGCCTTCATCTGGACCCTCAAGGGCAATTACACAGCCACAAACGGCTTGTTGCTGAAGCAGCCTCCCAGCCAGGACGTCGCCATCGGCGTGGTGATAAAGAACGTCAACGTGCTGGGCCAGCCTGCGCCGCTGGTGATCAAGTACACGGTCTGGGCATTCAACCCCGCCAAGTGATACTTCAAAGATTTTTTTTTGCAAAACAAATATTCTTGCAAAAAGGAGGAAGGCGGGAAGCACAAGGACTGCCAGGCATGCAAGCGGGCCCCCGTTGTGTGGACAGCGCGGGGGCGGCGGCAGGTGCGGCGGAGTACCGCGGGCTTATGCCCCCCCCCCCGGGCGACTTGCAAGCTCTAGCCGCAGCCCCCTCTCGCCAAAGCACATATCAGCCTGAGTTCTGACCTTTGTATCCCATACTTCGAATTTCTAAGGCAAGAGCTAGCCCGCGGCCTCCGCTTCCCGGTGAAGCTGAGCTCTGTGCCTGCTGCCGTATTCTTCTCTCTCTATCAACCCTGTTTTTTCTCTACCAACGCCCACAACTTTGCGCACATACCATGGGTGCTGCAGCCGTGCACGGGCTGCTCCTCTGCACTTGCCTCTGCCTGCTTCTCGCAGGCGCCTCTGCCAGGCCGCAGAGGCGCCATCCTCGCCATGACGTGCTGCTGCCCGCCCCCAAGTCCCCAACCGAGGGGTCGGGCGGCGGCGACAGCGATGGCGGCGACAGCGAGGTCGGGGCGACGATAGTGGCGGCGGGCTTCGCAAAATGGGTCAACATTTCCAGCCGCCCAGCCGTGAGGAAGTTGTTCAATGAGGTGGGCGTGTGCTGGATTGGATGGGCGTGCCGGCTGCCTCCCATACTCTACCCTGCCTGCCGGCATCCCTCGATGCTCACGCTCCCTCGTGCTCCTCCCACCCCACCCCACCCCACCGAAAGCGCCTGCTTCTGCACGCTCTGCCTTATGCTCGTGCCTGGCCGAGGCAGCCTGAGGAACTCCATTGGGCACCCCCATGCCCCACAGGCCTACATGGCCGAGGCGGTCGACATCAGCAAGACGGGCTTCTCCGCGACCAAGTGCACCCCAGGCACCCCGCCGGCTGCCTACATCCAGTCGACGCTGAGGCGCATCAACTTCTTCCGGGTATGTGCGCATGCAGCCCGGGAGGAGCCTCCCCAGTGCTGCCGTGCGCTCTGTTGGCATGCTCCAGCTGGGCTGCTCCTGCGCCACCCCTGTCGCCATGTCTCATGGCTGCCTGCCCAATCTGCGCCTCACTGCAGTCCATGGCGGGCGTGCCGGCCAACGTCACCCACAACTCGGTGTGGGGCAGGAAGGCGCAGCAGATGGCAATGATGCTGATTCTCAATGGGGACACTGAACACTTCCCGCCCACCAGGCAAGGCGGCTAGAGTGCCTGCTGGCACCAGCACCAGCCTTGGCATGCGGGGCGCAGGGCAGAGAGAGAAAACGCCCGATCACCGGGCGCCACCCGACCTTGCTTGCAACCCTGCCCCGCCTGCCCACCCACTTCAGCTGGAAGTGCTACAAGAAGGAGGGCGCCGAGGCGGCGGGCAAGTCCAACCTGTCGCTGGGCACGCACGGCCCAGATGCGGTGGACAGCCAGATGCGGGAGCGCAAGGGGTCCAACTATGACGTGGCGCATCGCCGCTGGCTGCTGTACCCCAACACCCCCCGCATGGGCGTCGGCGGCACCGACTACTTCAACGAAGCCTTCAACTACTACGGCGCAACCGCCGTCTGGATCATCGACGACTCCACCTTCTCTGGCCCGCGCCCCGCCACCCGCAACAAGTATGTGGCCTGGCCGCCCCCCGGCTACGTGCCTTACCAGGTGGTCTGGGCCCGCTGGTCCTTCTCCTACCCCGGCGCCGACTTCTCGGCCGCCAAGGTGACCCTGCGGCGCGGCACCACGCTGCTGGGCGTGAAGCGGGAGGCGCCGTCGGGGGGCAGCGCCGACAACACGCTGGTGTGGGTGGCCAACACCCAGAACAGCCTCTACAATGAGGACCGGTTCGAGCCCTGGGACAAGCCCACTGCAGTGCAGAAGATCAACGTCACCATCACAGGTGGGCTCCTGCTGCGAGGGGCTGGGGGAGGGCATGCGTTTCTGCAGCCTCCGCCGGTGCACCAGGCGGGTCTAGTGTTTTTGTTCTTGCTACGTTTCCAGTGACCTGACAGCATCGCCGCCTGCTGCGCTCCCTGTGTGCAGGGGTCAAGGTCCCAGCCTCAACGAAGCTCAGGACTTTCAGCTACCTCGTGCAGATCTTCGACCCTGCTGCGTGATGTTTTCGGTTGCGCTGTGCTGCGATGCGCTGCTTGTTGCTCTGTTTCTGCTCTGATGAACTAGTCGTTCCCGGTTCATTGACGCCGTCAATTGAATGCTCAATGAGCCGGCAACTTGATTACTGTAATCCATGCAAGCCCATTGGCTTACAAGCACCGGAACTGCTCTGCTGTGCGGCAGATGCACATGGCTCCCGCTGGCCAACTGCTGCACAAGGCCGCCATGAACCATTGTAATTCAGCCAAATAAATGAGCGAAAGCTAAGTTACCAGCTATGTGGAGATTCATAAATAACAAGCTGTGGTGGGGATGTGGTCGCCCCCTGCTGTGCTACGTGGCGGCAGCTGACTCGCTGCCAGCTGTGGGGCAAGTAAAGGCGGGGGAGGCTCCATGAGTCAGTTTGCACCTGTTTACCGATATAGAAGCTTGCGGACAGGCATGGGTCTCCTCCTGCTGGCTAATTGCCTCTGCATCTTGCTCAGCGTGTCAGCAGCCGCGTCGGCGTCTCCTTGCCGAGAACTGCTGGGAGAAGCGCCGCAATTCCTTCGGGTGCAGCCCAGGCTGCGCCCCCGTCGGAGGCCGCTGGGGTGGGACACCGCGGCGGCGACGACAGCGGCGAAGACGACCTGGGGGCTGGCAGACATTTCCAACCGCACAGCCGTGAAGAATTTCTTCAACAAGGTGAGCGTGGCTGTAGTATGTGCACCGCTCCTGCAATCCCATCTTGAACAGCAACCGCCCCGGCCTGCAGGGGTACAATGCCTCGGAGGGCATCGCTCCCGGCTGGACGGGCAGCATCAGCAGCTGCAGCGCCGGCACCTTGTCAGCGGCGTATCTTAATGCCACGCTGCGCCGCATCAACTGGTTTCGGGTGGGTGCGACGCCGCTCAGGCATCAGCTGCAGCACCATGCGGTGGAGGGTGTGCTCTGCTCTCGCTGCCCCACCCCCGCTCACCCGTACCTCCTGGCTGCAGTCCATGGCGGGCGTGCCGGCCAATGTCACCCTCAACCCCGCCTGGTCCAAGCAGGCCCAGGAGGCGTCGCTCATGTTTTCCGCCATGTCAGACATTGACCACGAGCCGCCCAGCACGTGAGGGCCGGGGGGCGCTTTTTAGGAGGCTGGCGCCCTGGCCACTGAGCTGGCCGCCGCCCTGCATGCTGGTAGCAGGGAGCATGAATGGAAGCCGCTCCCCCCATGCCCATCTGCAGGTGGACGTGCTACACCAGCAGCGCCGCCGAGGCAGCCGACAACTCCAACCTGTCGCTGGGCAACAAGGGCCCCGCCGCGGTAGACAGCCAGATGCGGGACCGCGGCGCAAAGAACGCTCGGGTGGGGCATCGCCGCTGGCTGCTGTACCCCTGGACGAGGAGGATGGGCATCGGGGCGGTGGACCACTACGATGTGTCGGCGGGAGTGGACGGCACTGCCGTCATCTGGATCATTGATGAGGACAGTTGGTTTGACGCGGACGGCTGGGAGCTGCCGCGTCCTGCCACCCGCAGCGGCTTTGTGGCCTGGCCGCCGCCCGGCTATGTGCCGTACCAGGTGGTCTGGGCCCGCTGGTCCTTCTCCTACCCCGAGGCCGACTTCGCGGGTGCCACAGTGACGATGCGGCTGGGCAGCGAGAGCATCAGCACGGTAGTGGAGGAGGTGGGGTGGTATCTGGGAGAGAACTCGATAGTGTGGCTGGCCAACACCACCGACCCCGAGCAGTCAGAGCCCTGGCCGCGGCCTAGCGAGGACCAAGCCATCGGCGTGACCGTCAGCAATTTCTTGGATGGCGCCGGCGAGGTGCGGTCTGTGTCGTACGTCGTGCACGTGATGGACCCCGCCACATGACCTGCCCTGCCCCATGGGTGCCTGCTTGCTTGTGCAGCTGTCCCCCTCCGTTTTCTCTGCCGCTATGTTTATTGTTTCACATCATCTTTCCTTTAATTTACTGCAATTCGACAGTTATCCCACAAAGCGGTGCGCTGAGCGTGCCGCTGCCGCCTGCCAGCCTCCGCTGCTGTCTGGGGTACCGCCCCAGCGCCCTCTCACCCATCCGTGCACCGCTCAGTGCATCTCCAGGAGGAACATGTCGGCCAGGCGCTGGTTGGAGGCGCTGTTGCCGCCATGAACCACCACGCCAGTGCCGCATGCGGTGGCCGCCAGCCAGCCGCGCGGCGAGGGCGGCTGCCCGCCAGCGCTGATGCTGTGCCAGTGCCCGCAGGCGGTGTCCAGGCAGAAGGTGTCTGCCGAGTAGCAGCCGGCGCCGGCATGGCCCTGGGCTGCGGTGGGTGCAAGCAGGGGGCAGCGAGGCAGGTGGGGAGGCACTGCTGAGGGCATGGCACAGAATGCCGCAGGCATGGGGCAGCGTGGTGGCGGCAGGGGAAGGGGAAAGCCGGACCAAAGCAGCAGCCTGACAGGGGATGACGCATGATTGGGAGTGCCAGCTGGCGGGTGAGGCAGCGGGGGGCAGGACTCACTGGAGGGGTCGACCTCGCCGCCAAACACCACAATGTGGTTGCTGTGGAGGCAGCCGGCGCAGCCGTGGGCAGCCACAGCGCACACAGAGCGTGCAGGGAGGGCCACCGGCTGGTCGTGCCCGCAGCTGCTGCTGCCGCCGGGCGCTGCGGGGGGACCTGCCACGGAGCAGCACCGGGGGCAGTCCCAGGTCTCAGTGGCTAGGTCAAACCTGCAGGGCAGGAGCAGGGCACGATATCCGCAGGGTGAACTATGGACATGGCGCTGCAGGGAGTAGGCTGAGCACACCGCCTGGCGACCGCAGCTATCTGCCACGCCCTGCGCCCCGGCCTTGCCTGTGCACGTCGCCCATCTCTTGCCCCGCAAACCCCGCCACCACAAACAGCGCGCAAGGGACGGCCGCAAAGCCGGCCCCGCCACGGCCCTGCAGCATGTTGCAGTGTCGGTGGGGCACCTGGCATGGGTGACAGCAGCTCTGCCGCGAGGCAGGCCAGAGACCTCTTGGACCGAACACCACCAACCAGCGTGCGATTGCCACTTGCCTTGATTGCATCGCTGGAAGGCAGCTGGCGCCAGGTGGCTGTAGACAAATCAAACTCCCAGAGGTCGTTGAGCCTGCCTGTGCTCCCCTCGCCACACCCCCCAAACACGTACAGCCGGCCCTGCGCCGCGGCCATGGCATGGTAGGAGCGCTTGGGTGGCACAGCCTCGCTGGCTGGCCTGACCTCCACCCAAGTGGCGCTCTCCGCGTCGAAACGGTGCAGGTCGTTCAGGCTGCCCTCCCCAATGTCGATGCCGCTCCGTCCGCCGAAGATATAGATGCCGGCACCGATCGCCGCTGCGGCATGGGCGTTGCGCAGGCTGGGCGGCGTGCCCTGGGCCTGCAGGCATGGGGATTTGAGCGCTGCTAGAGTCGAAACCACCATGGCCACCTCATGGCTTGACGGAGGTGCAGTCCTCCATTGATGCATGCGGCAGCGGCGCCGCAGGGTCGCACCTGCACCAGCGACCACTGCGCCGCCTGCATGTCGTAGGCGTGCATGTCGGTGCTGATGGGCACCCTGGGCGCAGACTCCCCGCCCCACAGGTACAGGCGGTCGCCCACCGCGGTGATGGAGTGGGAGCTGCGCGCCTGCAAGGGGCGAGAAGGAGGGGGCGTCTGAGAGCCCGCTCTGCAAGGCGGGCTGCGGCAGTTCGCCTTGACCAGGCGGCAGCGGCAGCGGTGAACCCAACCGCAATGCGGCACAACAAGCATTGTTTCACAGCATCCTGGCGCATCAACAGGCGTGGGGCAACCTGCTCGGGCAACCTGTGACTCTCACCTGTGGGACATCACCCTTGCTGGCCAGCTCCACCCACCTCATGATGTTGGATGATCGATAGCTAGGTTCCGGAATGGCACTGTGCAGCTGCGGTTTGGAGCGACAACGTGTACTTCGGGCCATGTACGGCACGGGATGAAAGAGCGGCTCACGCACAATGCGGCCCTGCATGCATGAGGCGCATTGTCGTCAGCACATCGGTTGTGGAGTTGTCTCGGCCCTGCGCCCTCCTCTCGCTCCCCCACCAATGGTCCAGTGCTGTTGAGCCGCACTGTGCCCCATCCGTTGCTGCTCGTGGCACCTGGGACGTCTGAGCCTTCAATATCCCGGCAGCTGGGGCGCATCCATATGCCACCACAGCAGCCGGCGCCATGCAGGGCAGCAGCAAGCGCCTGCTGCGGGTTGGCGGCCAGGCCCAAACGCCAGTGCACGGCGAAAGCATTGCCGCCGCAGCGGTGGCAGCCGCAACGGCAGGGCCAGCGGCAGGGGGCGGGGCGGGGCGGCCTGCAGGCTGCCGCCGCCCGCCCAGTGCTGGCCGCTGGCGGCGATGCGGGGGACGACTTGGAGGAGATGCGGGAGCGGCGTGACGAGCTGCTGCGCATCAAGGAGGATCTGGATGTGGGGCTGAACACAGACGAGGACGAGGAGCTGGCAGGCATCACCGAGCGTACGCCGCCGCCCGCTGCCCCTCCCTGGCTGGGTGTGCTGGCACGGAGCAGCCCCCGGGCCCCCCTGCTGCCGATCTGATTCTCCCCTTTGGGATGACCCTCCCCTGGCACCATCTCCTGCAGGCCTTCTGAAGTTTGGCTACCTGGAGGACACAGGCTCGCTGGATGAAGTGGTGCCTGGGATCGGCTCGGATGGGACAGATGAGGAGTATGAGGAGGTGGTGGCGGAGCTCTTCTCGTCAGACGACGATGAGGAAGAGGAGGAGGAGGTGGGGAGGTGCTGCTGTCAGGCATGGGAGTGGCGGCTTTTCTTTGCAGTGCTGTGCCCGCCAGGACTTGTGGCAGCCTGTGGCGGCGCCTGACGCCTTGCCGCAGCCGGGCTGCTGACCTTTGCTGCACGGCCTGGCTGCTGTCCTTCGCTGCGCTGCAGGAGGAGGAGGACAGCGAAGAGAGTGAGGACAGCGAGGAGAGCGAGGAGGAGGAGGAGGAGGAGGAGGGGGACGTGCTGACGGCGGCGGACAGGGAGAGCGAGGTGGCGCCGCGGCGCAAGGTGGCGCGCAAGCCGCCATCCGACCTGGCCATCGACAGCATTGTGCTGGAGGCGCAGCGCGGCGGCACACGTGAGCCCGCGGCAGCAGCTGGCAGCAGCCAGGAGTGGCGGGCTGCATGCTATGCGGCACAGCCGCGCCGCCTTGCGGATCTCGGCAGCAGCGACACATGCAACCACAGCAGCTCACCATTTCCTGTACCCCGCCACCGATTGCCTGGCTGCGCCGATTGCCTTATGCCGCTGCCTGCCCTGTGCTGCAGAGGACATGCGCAACATGGGCATGTTTGCCACCAGCTCTCCAGGCGTGGGTGGAGAGCAGGGCGAGCCCGGGGCCAACGGCGAGCAGGAGGAGGCCCCGCAGGCCAGGTTCCCCGAGCCGCCGGCACGCAGCTACCGGCTCGCGGAGCTGCTGCGGCTTGCGGGCTATGAGGAGCAGGCAAGCGCGCAGCCAGGGATGCTGGCAGACAGCGGACGCAGCCAGGGCCCCTGGCCACACAGGCGGCAGCTAGCCATGGCCGCCGCCGCGGCTTACTGGCGCCGGCTCAGCCCGTCTAGTATCCGCTCCACCGCTGTGCTGCAGGCTGCCTCTGCGCCTGACGTGGACATCCGCAACATCCTTACCTGCAACTCGATATCTGGGGGGGAGGACTCGCTGTATGTGTGCGTCCCCTCGGCAGACGGCCAGTGCGACGGGCACGATTGGGCGGATGAGGTGCGGCCCAGCTTGGCTGGGGTGGCGGGCTGGGCCGTGCAACGGAGCGCACCGTGCTGGCAGCAGCCGTTGCTGCACCAGAAGTGGGCGCCACCTCCACAGCTACCCAGCCATCCTCCCACCTCCCCTGCTGCCTGCCCCGCGCGCGCAGGCTTCTGAGATGGGCGCCGTGGCGGTGATTGCGGGGCGGCCGCTGCCCGACGCGCTGCTGCCGGTGGTGGTGGTGGACGACGTGGCGGCGGCGCTGGGCAGCCTGGCGGATGCCTTTTACGAGCGGCCCTCGCGCCGCATGCGCACCGTGGGGGTGGTGGGGTCCTACGGCAAGACCACCACCGCCTGGCTGTCACGCGGCATGTTTGAGGAGACGGCGGAGCGATGCGGCATGATTGGTGGGTGGGCGCCCGCCTGGCGGCTGAGGCTGGATGCAAGCCCCACCCGTCCCCACCACGGCGCCTGCTCTGCTGGCATGCAGCCTGGCATCCCGGCCGGCATGCGCCCCTTGCGGCACACCCCATCACAGTGCCTGCCTGCCCGCCTGCCTGGCCGGTGCCTGCCTGCAGGCACAATCGAGTATGCTCTGGAGGAGGTGCGGCTGACGGAGGAGGGCGAGGTGTGGGTGGCGGAGGAGCAGGACGTCACGCTGCAGGCAGGTGGCGGCCTGGTGGGGCGCGGGTGGCGGCGCCGGGGAGGCGGGCGGGCAGGCAGGCCGATCGCGCCTGGCATGGCCTTTGGGTGCCTGCTCTGCTCTGCCCTGCCTGCTCTGAGCTTCAAGGGATGAGCCACTCGCACCTTGAGCCCCTCTGCATCGCCTAGCTTCGAATGACCGCCCCTGCCTCGCCCCCCGCCTCCCCCCCCTGCAGCGCGACTGCTCCTCCCCCTTCCACATCACCCCCTACGAGGGCAAGTACCCCCAGGTGCCCACCACCCCCGATGCCCTGCACATGCAAAAGGCGCTGGCGGGGTGCGCGGACCGCGGCGCCAGCGTGGCGCTGGTGGAGTGTGACCCGGCCAGCCTGGGAGACGGCAGGTGCGCTGTGGCTGGACTGGGCTGGGCTGGGCTGCTTGGGCTGCGAGGCACAGCCCCAGTGGAAGGCAGCACAGGCAGCTGCCCGGAAGCCCTGGCCACCCCCCGCCTCCCCCTCCCATCTCCCCCTGCGCTTACCCGCTGCGCTGCCTGGTGCTGCCGCCTGTCGCTCCGCTCCCTGCCTGCCCCCCTGCAGGGCCGACCATGTCGACTTTGATGTGCTTGTCTACACCAACAGCTACGCGGAGAAGGAGGCGGGGGCGGAGGGAGGCAGCCAGGCCTGCCACGACCGCGTGGCCGAGCTGTTCCGGCGCGTGCAGGGGGACGTGGAGCGGCAGCGGGCGGTGATCAACATAGATGGTGCGCCCGGCGGCAGCGCTGCGCTGCATCTGTGGGGCCTGCGGGCTTGCTGTGCGCCCCGCCTGCCCGCCCGCCTGCGCTCTGTCCCACCCGCTGCCTCGTCTCACCCGACAGCTGCGCCTCACCCTGCCGCCTGCCTGGCGGCTGTGTGTGTGGTGCAGACCCGCTGGGGGCGGAGCTGGCGCAGGCGGCTGCGGCTGCGGGCGCCACCGTGCTGACCTACTCAGCCGACAGCCGGGATGCCGACATCTACGCGGAGAAGGCCAAGGTGAGAGAGAGAGAGAGAGAGAGAGAGAGAGAGAGAGAGAGAGAGATGGGGAGAGGGAGAGACAGTGTGTGTGCNCGTGTATGTGCCACCCATGGGTTTCTGGTTTGTTNCAACCCGCACCCCACCCCCACCCCGACACCCTCCTCCATCTCATTCCCTCTCCCGCCCCCGCCCACCACCCCACAGAGCTCCATCTGGGAGACGGAGGTGCTTGTGAACACGCCGCTGGGGCGCCTGCAGATCATCACGCCGCTGCTGGGGCGCAGCAACGTGTGCAACGTCCTGGCGGGTGGGTCCCCAGGCCGAGGGGCTGGCTGGGATGGGGCCTGCACAGCTTCTCTGTGCCTCTGCCGCTGCTGCATCGGCCTACGTGTCGCCGTTGGCCCGCCCGTTGCAATCCCGGCTGCCCAGGGGAGCTGCTGCATCCACCCCATCCACCCCACCTGGCGCTGCGCCTGCCCCCATGCGCTGCAGCCGTGAGCACGGGCATCGCGTGCGGCGTGCCGCTCAAGAACATTGTGGCAGGGATAGAGGCCGTGGACATCATCCCCGGCCGCTGCGAAATCATCGACGAGGGGCAGCCCTTCAGCGTGGTGGTGAGCGGGGCTGGCGTGGGAAGCTGTGGCTGGCTGGCGGGCGGGCTGGCAGGTGGCGCGGGGCGGGCGGCCACGGGCCAGGGTGCCCGCCTATCTCCTGCCTGCTGCCTCCCCTGGCTGCCTCTGCCTGCAACATTTTGCTTCCCCTCTCCCTCCCGCTCCGAGTCCTGGCTCAACAGCATCCCTTGGCCGCCTGCCCCCTACGACGTGCAGGTGGACAGCGCGTCCACCCCCGAGCAGCTGTCCCGGCTGCTGGACGAAGTGAAGGAGGCTGGGTCCAAGCGCGTGCTGCTCGTGTTTGGCTGCCCCGGCACCACCAGCGTGGAGCAGCGCGCGGCGATGACGCAGGCAGGGAGCTGCGGGTGGCCTGCTGCGGGCGGGGCATGGCCAGCCTGGCCGCCTCCAGGCCTGCCTCCTGCCCGCTCGCCTCCCTGGCCCCCTAGCCGCCTCCCCCGCCCCCCCAACTTGCGCCGCTCACCCCTCAACCTGCCCTCCTCCCTCCTCCTCCCGCCACCCACCCACCCGCAGATGGCCCACTACAAGGGCGACGCCATCTTCATTACCAACGACTCCCCCGGCGCCTCCTGGCCCTCCGACGTCATCGCCGACATGGTGGGGGGCCTGCCCACCGAGGTGACCAACAAGTACACGGGCACGGCGTACCCGTTCCTGCAGGACCCGCACCGCGTGCCGCACTGGTTCCAGAAGTACATGCTGCAGTACCAGTCGGTGGTGGGGGTGTATGTCATTGAGGACCGCTTCCAGGGTGGGTGGACGGGGGTGGGGGCATGTGTGTGTGTGTGCGCGCGCGTGTGTGTGTGTGTGTGTGTGTGGCGAGGGGCCTGTGGCTGGCTGGCTGGCCGGGCTACCGCTGGCAGTATAGACGGATGGCGCGCCCTGGGCTGCTGCGCTTGCTTGGAGGAGTGGCCGCAGGCCGGCACGCCCACCCCTCTCTCCCGTGCGCCCGCTGCAGCCATCCGCGTGGCAATCGGCATGGCGCGGGCGCGTGACGTGGTGGTGGTGGCGGGCAAGGGCCACATCGACTGGCAGGAGTACTGGGATGGGGCGGAGTTTGATCTGGAGGAGCGCACCACGCTCAAGGTGTGTGTGTGTGTGTGTGTGTGTGCTGCTCCTACTGCGCTGGGCTGGGCCGGCGGCGGGCGGGCGCTGCCGGGCGCTGCGTTGCGTCCTTGTCGCCCTTTCTGCGTCCCCCTGGCCAGCCATGCATCCCTTCTGCCCACCCCTGCCTCTTCCCCAAACTATTGTTGCGTGCCTCTGCTGTGCAGAGCTGGTTTGACGACCGCGTGGAGTGCCGCAACGCACTGTCCAAGCTGCCGTACCTCAGCGGCATCAAGGACCTCAACACAGACGTGCTGCCCTGGACGCGGTACCCCGAGGAGCGCGACATCCTGTCGCTGGAGGGCATCTCGGAGGCGCCCGTGGGCGACTTCCGGTGACCGCACACGCGCTGGTTCGGCGGCGGCGGCGGCGGCGACGGCGGGCCACGCAGGCTCCGCGGCCGTGCTGCCGCCGGTGCAGCACCGCATGCTGTCAGCCTCCGCTGTGGTATTTTTGTTCCATAAGTTCCACACACTAGGCCCCAGGCCATCGATTTAAGCAGGCAGCGACTGTCAAAACCAGTAGTGAAACCGGCAAAAGTGGCGGTGTGGCGGCCAGGTCAACGGCGGTGGCCCTCACCATGTCCATGTCCTGCTGCATCAGGCAGAAATCTTTCTGATAGCACGTTTGCACTTCTTCCACGCGCACGCGCACGCTTCACCTGTGTGTATTCAGGCCAACACCAAGGATCGAGCAGCATGGAGGGGGCAGCGGCCGATGCAGCAACTGCGGAGGAGCACCACGCCATCAGCTTCCCGGAGCAGCCCGAGGAGGAGCATGAGCCGAGCCGGCTGGAGCAGGAGCGCGCCAAGCACAAAGCACGGTGCGGCACACTAGCGTGCAGCTCCAGCGCAGCGAGGGCAGGCCGCCGCTGCAGCCGATGGTGTGGCGATGGTGCTGCCTGGCGGGCCGCCGCCGTCGCCGCCGCCGTGCTGTCCACGCACCGCCCTGCTTCCCTTCCCTCGCAGTGCCGAGAAGTTTGGTACAGAGTATGTGGAGCCCAGCCGGCGGCGTGACCTGCGCCTGGATGCCCGCAAGGAGCGCTTCACCCGCCCCGGCTTTGCCACAGGCATCGACCTGTTCACCGAGGAGGAGCGGCAGAAGCGGGAGCAGCGCGCCGCGCGCTTCGGCCTGCCCGAGGGCAGCGGGCTGGAGTGGAAGCCGCCGCAGGTGCGCGCGGCTCGCGGCTGGGGAGGGCCCTGGCTGTGCAGGTGCAACGCCACGGAGCACAGCCTGGAGTGGGTGGCGTGGAGGCGTGCTGAATTGCCTGCGCTGCTGCGGCGCGTGGATGCCTGGCAGGTGTCTGAGGACGACGAGAAGCGGCGGCAGCGCGCGGAGCGTTTTGGAGTGGACTACAAGCCCAAGGACGAGACGGGTCTCATGGACGTCGGTGGGTGGCGGGCAGCACGCAGCCGCAGTCGCGAGGACCTGGTGGTGCCGGCGCCCATGCCCCTCGCTGTCGCGGCCCCGCCGCTCCTGCCTGGCCCCCAGCCCTGGCTGCTGGTCCCCACCGATTGCACGCGCCACCGCCCCTGCGCCCCAGCACACCCACACCCTCCCCTGCCTTCCTCCCCGCCTGCCTGCAGACCTGTTTGAGTCGAGGCGCGACCCGGGGGTGGCCGCCGCGCGGCGCCCCGAGGCCCTGCACATCTACGGCGTCGACCTGCTGTCCACGGGCGACATCCTCAAGTACTTTGCAGACTACGGTGCGGTGCCCTGAACGTGGCGCAGCCACCCTGCGTGCATGTGGGCGCGGGAGGGCGTGTGGTGGTGGCTGGCTGCCGCGGAACAGGGAGCAGGCAGGCGGCCCCCAGGCCCGCCACCCTGCACTGCACGACCCTTCCCTGCCGCGCCGCGCCGTGCCGCGCAGGGCCCAAGTATGTGGAGTGGATCAACGACAGCAGCGCCAACGTGCTGTTTGCGGACGCGCCCACCGCCAAGCGCGCGGTGGCGGGCATGGGCAAGCCGCTGCCGCCGGAGGATGCGCCGGAGCAGATGGGTGAGGGGGCTGGGCGGGCCAGGAGCTGCTGGGCTGGGAGGGGAGCAGGCAGGCTGAGAGGGCAGGCTGAGGGCCGAGAGGGTGGTGCATGCGTGTGGCCAAGACCTGCACGCCGACGCCCCCGCCCTCGCCACCCCGCCTGCCCGCCTGCTGCCACCAACGCGTCCCCGCCGTACCCTGTGCAGGCATCGACCCCTCCGACCCAGCCAGCCTCCAGTTCCTGTGGCACAAGGGGGGGGACTTTGTGAAGGCGGGGACCCCCATCCCGCTCATCTTCCGCATCGCAACGGTGGAGGATGTGAGGCCCGCAGACAGGGTGCCCTCCCGCCGCCTCTGGCTCACCGCCAGCGGCGGCAGCCGCGGCGGCGGCCAGCAGCAGCCGCGCCACCAGCAGCAGCAGGGCGGCGGCGGCGGGCAGGGCGAGGAGGGGGAGGGTCACCAGCAGCGGGGGCGGGGCCGGCGGAGGTACAAGCCGCGCACCGGCGGCCGCCCCGCGGGCTGGCAGCACGATGACCGCGGCGATGGAGAGGGGGGAGATGTGCACATGGGGCAGCAGCGCAAGGCGCGGCGGCCGCGCAACAAGTGGCGGCGGCAGGGGGGCGATGTGGAGATGGAGGATGCGGACGCGTATGATGGGGATGGCGGCGGCTACCAGGTGAGCGGGCGGCATGGAGGAGGAGGGGAGGGACCGGCGGGAGGGACGAGGGACAACGGGGCAAGCTGTGTGAAAAGGCATGAAGGCTGCAGCAGCACGCGGCCCTGCTGGCTGGGCGAGAGATGTGCCGCGCTGGGTGCCAACCAACACCCCTGCGCGCCGTGGCCTGGCCGCAGGACGGCGGCGGCACCATGACGCGCTTCCGTGCCGCCGCCGACGACGAGCGGCCGGCGCTGGCTGCCGCGGCGGCGGCGGCGGCGCCTGCAGGGCCGCCGCGTGAGCAGGTCAGCTACGGCGACCTGTGATTGATGCGGGACAGACTGCTGGGGTTGATGCCGCTGGTGCCGCTTGTGACGTGCCCGCCTGCCTTGCCTCTCCAACAAGCGCCGGATCGAGGGTCCGATTTACACAGCGGGTGCATGGGGCGGTGGTTGTGTGTCCAGTACCAAAAGGCGGGCAGCTTCACGGGTCGCCAACAGCGGAACAGCGTTCCAGGGTCCCAAGACGGCAGATGGCGATGGAGGTAGCAATTTGAAGAGGCAATAAATGAATCATTCAACGAATGGAGGCATACTCTGCACCCCGCTGTAATGGGCGGGGCGGAGCTGCTCTGCAATGGCAGAGCTGCGTCACTTGGCGGGGCGGGGTCACGGAGGGTGGGTGGACGGCGGCAACGGGGTGTCCATGTATCAGCCTGTGCCTTCCGGGGTGGCGACTCGGGCAGGGCCCAGGGCAGCCTCCATCCAGGCTCTGCACATGCCTAGGCCTCACAGCTCGCACTCTGGGTACAGGATCAGCTCGGTGCCCAGGGGCAGCAGCGTGGGGTTGGCCTGCAGCTGCGGGTTGAGGTCCAGCAGCGAGTCCACGGTGGTGTCGTACTGCGCGGCTGCACAGGGCAGGGGTGGGGTTGAGGAGTGTGGGTGGGAATGGCGGGGACAGGCCAAGACATCCTGCCAGGGACGCACGCCATGCCTTGCACCCATGCAGCCATTGCAGCGTGCGCAGGTGCCCCCAGCTGTGCCCCCCAGCCGCACCCACACACACAAATACACCTGCACCCACCCAGGTCGAACAGGATGTCGCCCTCCTTCACCACGTGGATGCACCCCGCCTCGGGGCTAGGCAGCTCCACGCCAAAGCTGGCCGGCAGCAGCACCTGCGGGCAGCGCGCGGGTGGCCACGGTGACGGCGGCTGGCGGCGGCAGCGGTGGAGGCTGCAGCCCGGCCTCCTGCCCTGCTGCTGCACAGCCGCAGCGTGCAGGGCGGGCAAGCGGTGGGCAGGCATCCCCTTGTGGCGCAGCTCACCCCCTTGGTGATGTGCACGACGGCCTTGCCCGCCTCGAGGTCGGTGGCCACCACCCGCACCTTCTGGCCGGAGCTGGTGGCCAGGCGCGTGGTGTTGGCGGGCTTGAACACCTGGCAGGCGGGGCGGGGCGGAGGCGGGGCGTGATGCTCCCTGGCGGTGGCGCTGCCGCCGGCTGCTGCAGGCTGCCTGCTGCGCCCGTTTGGTCGGGTCCCTCCCTCCCGCGCCCGCCCCCCTGCTCCACCAGCCAGCTTCCTCCCCCACCTACCCCACCCACCTCCACAAACTCCTCCTCCAGCAGCGTGGTCAGGTTCCTGCCGTTGGTCAGCTGGGCGGCCTCCAACGCCTCCTCCGGCACCACGTGGTACGACAGCAGCTCAGCCAGCGCCGCCTTGTCCGCCAGCAGCTCCTCGGCAGTCTGGTTGGTCAGCACCTTGGCCAGCAGGTTCTGCGGTGGTGGCAGGCCGGTGCAGGCGGGCAGCATGTGCTGTGTCGTGTGGGTGTGATGTAGGAGATGTAGGGGCATCATCGGCCTTCCTTGAAGCCCCCAAGCCAGTCAGCCAGGCAGACCTGGCATGCGCACCTCAAAGGCGGTGTTGTTGGGCGCAAACACGGTGGCCACCAGGCTCTCGTCGGCCAGCGTGTCAGCAAAGCCCGCCGCCACCACGGCCCGGAACAGGGTGGTCATGTCGGCGCGGTGCGCCAGCAGGTCGAGCACAGACTCGCCGCTGGTGGCCGTTGCTGCAGGCGGAGAGGGCCAGCAGGGGTGGTGTTGAGGTCAGTACCAGCAGGAACACGCAGGGCATGCACGAATCGCCATCCTCCATAGCAATATCCATCCCTGGCACAGGGATCAGCATCGCCTCCTGCTGACCGTTTCCGCAGGGAAGCGCGATGACGGTGCCCAGCTGCAGGATGTTGACGTCCGACAGCTGCGGATTGGCCGCTGTCACCTCTGCGAGCGTCAGATTGTACCTCTTCCCAACCTGCAGACCGCAAAAAGAAGCCGGAAATGCCTGGGGGGGGTAGCGAAGGGGTTGCGTCGGCGGCGGGGCAGCGGCTACCAGGCCCCCAGCCAGTGAGACGGCTCGTTGGCGGCGGCAGAGGCAGCGGCGAGCGCACATCGAACAGCGTGTCGTTGGCACTGATGACATAGCTGCAGGGTGTCGAGGCCGCTGCAAGGGGGACATGTGTTGACATGTGGGGGTTCAGCATTGCTGGCTGGGACCGCCAATGCGGTAGCAGCGCTTGCCGTGGGACCTAGGCAGCATGATGCAACAGCTGCATCCGGCGCAACCTGCTGGGCGCAGCCATGCCAACCAAACGCGGCGGAGCTGCCAGCAGCGGGGTGACCTGAAGCCCTTGATGCACGGTTTGATTGGCTGTGACGATCACCTGATGCGCTGACCAGCAGCGCCAGGCCGGCAACCAGCACGATGTCAAGCCGCATGTCCACTGTTGTTGCAAGGCACTAGGTAGACAGCTGTAGTAGCGCGCTATGGTATTAGAATGCTGCGCGGCTTCTGATAAGGCAAGTACTGCGGCCTGAAGCCTCCCTCCTCCAGCCACCGCCGCCTCCCGCTTTCCTGCTGGCAGCGGCGGGCGTCCAATGTAGTGGCGCCTTTCCCGCAAATTTGCTCTGCACGTTGTGCTAACATATTCCATACTCCCTCGGCTGGGTTACGTGTGCGTGCGCAATTGTTGGACGGTGCGTGGCACAGCACGGTGCCCACGTTTGTGCTATAGGCTGGCAGGCGGAGATTAGTACAGGGGATTTACAAGATGTGCGGATGTGGTCATCGTCAAGGAGAAAGGGAGCCTAATCTAAACTACGTCACCTAGAAGTCATCTGCATCTCAGAGTCAAAGGGTTACCTCCCGCTGCGCATGTGTGCAACGCATGATTTATTCCAAATACTAGGATTGGAGTTGTGATGTGGGGAAAAGACTGGCGTCTAGAAGTGTGGAAAGAATCATGCGCAAATAACAAATCAGAGAATCACACATGGTCTGCTCTGGACGACCAGACGACATCTTGCACGCCGGGCGCAAGTCGCTTCACCCTCAGCACTCCTTCAGCTTGATCTCATCGCCGGGCAGGATGAGCTCGGGGTCCTCAATCTGCTTGTTCAGCGCCACCAGGTCCTCCAGGGTGGTGTCGTACTTCTGCGGGGCGGGAAGCAGGCGGGGGCCGGGGGGCCGGGGAGGTGAGTGGTGAGGACGTCGGCAAGGAAAGGGAGCGTGGGGCTGAGCAGCTCCCACATCCAAGCCATCCCGTGCACATGCCCCCCTCACCGCGGCAATGTCGAACAGGGTGTCGCCCTCCTTGACGGTGTAGGTGCAGCCGTCGCCGGTGGGGGTGGTGGGCTTGGAGGGGGAGGGCGCGGGGGCCTTGCCGCCCTCGCTCTCCAGCGGCAGCAGCACCTCGTCGATCACGTGCACAATGGCGTCACCCGCCTCCAGGTCGGCAATCTTCACGGGCACCTCCTGGCCGGCCACGGTCAGCACAAACACGCCCTCGTCGTTCTTCTTGATCTGCAGCAAACCAGGGAGGGCAGCAGAGTGGCAGGGGAAGGATGAGTGTGCGAGAAACCAGGGCCATGCCTGCAGATGCGTCGCTGTGCTGCACCCCACCCCCACCTTGAGCTTCTTGCCCTTGAGCATGGTGCTGTAGCTCTTGCCGTTCTTCAGGTCGTCGGCGTCCAGGGCATCGCCGGGGATGACGTGGTAGGCCAGCACATCCTGGACCAGGGCGGTGTCGTTCAGCAGCTGGGCGGCAGTCAGCTTCAGCTGCTTCAGCAGAGCCTCAAAGGCCTTGTCGGTGGGGGCAAACAGGGTGGCATCCAGGTCGCCGTCTGCAGGCACGCAGGGAACAGGGCGGTGCAGCGGAGATGAGCAGGACATGCGGCCGGGAACAGGAGCATCATCAACGTGCCAAGCAGACTGAGCACTGCACAACGGCAGGCCACGCAGCGCTGCACTTGCACTCACCCTGCAGGTCCTCCAGCATGCCCACAGAGGCCAGGGCGGCAAA